TCATTTTTTCAACATAACAACTTGTACATCTCATTGTTGCAATGGGTCCACCTGTATCCCAATTTAAACAATTTGTTTTTTCCCTTCCCCTCCACAAATTATATCAACAGCAAATGCAGTGAAAGCAGGGATTATACTGGGGGAGGAGGGACATACAATGCAACAAAGAAATCATTTTATAAATATGTTAGAAACAATCGCTTGAAAGAAAAAAAACATTTGAATACTTATCTTAGGATTCATTTCACCTAACATCACCTTATCTGACCTTTTCTGCTTGACTCAGATATATACTAGTTATTGCAAATAAGGGAAACCATGGGACCTATGTTTCTTTGGGCCTGACTTACTTCACTTAATATAATTTTTTCCAAATCTTTCCATTTCTTAACAAATGGGGCAATGTCATTCTTTCTGATGGAGGCATAGAATTCCATTGTGTATAGATACCACATTTTCTTGATCCATTCATCTACTGTGGGGCATCTGAATTGGTTCCATATCTTAGCTATGGTAAATAATGTTGTGATAAACATAGTTGTGCTGGTAGCTTTAGTATGGCCTTGTTTGTGATCATTTGGGTAAATGCCCAAAAGTGGGATTGCTGGGTCATAGGGGAGCTCTATGTGGAGTCTTTTAGGAACCTCCATACTGCTTTCCAAAGTGGTTGAACAAGTTTACACTCCCACCAACAATGCAGTAAGGTTCCCTTCTGTCCACATCCCCTCCAGCTTCTGTTGTTGTTAGAGTTCTTGATTATAGCCATTCCAAGTGGGGTGAGGTGGTATCTCAATGTTGTTTTGATTTGCATTACTTTTATGGTCAGGGAGGTTGAGCATTTCTTCATGTGTCTATTGGCCACCCTTCTTTCCTCTTCAGAGAAGTTTCTCTTTAAGTCTTTAGCCCACTGATTTATTGGGCAGTTGTTTCTTTGAGCATTTGTTGTTGGGGGATTTAACTTTTTGCGTTCCAGGTATATTTTAGATATGAGACCCATGTCTGTTGTATGGCTAGTGAAGATCTTCTCCCAATCAGTGGGCTTTCTATTGATCTTGCTAGCTATGTCCTTTGCCATGCAGAAGCTCTGCAATTTCATGCAATCCCATTTGTCCAACCTTTCTTTGATTTCTTGTGTTTCTGGGTGTCTATTAAGGAAATTTCAGGCTGTGCAAAGGAGACTTAGGGTTCCTTCTATTCCATCCTGTAATGTTTTCAGAGTGACTGTTTTGACTCCATGGTCTTTGCTCCATTTGGAGTTGATTCTGGTGCAGGGCGATATTCTGAATTCCCACCAACTCATTGTATGGCTGTGTCTTCTAATGTATTTCCTGAACATTTTTCCTCTTGAAAATTTCTGTCTTTTGATGCTGTTACTTAAATTATATTTTTGTACTTATTTGGGTTTTTCTTTCTATTCACACATTTATCTTTTTCAAATATTCCTGAGTTGATTTTATCACACTTTAATTTGAAATTAGGTGAGTATACATATGCTATTAATAAACTCCTCATATTTATGTGGGAAGATGTTGAATTATAAGATAATGTTCTTGGAGTGTTGATGTATAGACAATAGATATTTTTCCATACACATTTCATAAATCACATTTTATTAGTTTTTAATAAACTATACACATATTATTCATTTTCATGTAATGTTTATCTCTGGATTTTAAGATTTATTTATCGTTTGAAACATTTCACTCTATCCTGTGCAATTCATTTATGTCTTATATATAATTTCTTTTATAAAACTTTAAAAAATTTTCAGACATTGCTCATCGAGATTTTCTTTCATTTTTGAGGAATATGGTTTCATAATGGCAGCCTTTTTTCTCTGTTGGAATACTCATTGATATTTTAATAGAAAGTTGTGTAAGCCTCCCATCAGAAAGAATGACATTGCCTCATTTGTTAGGAAATGGAAAGACTTGGAAAAAATTATATTAAGTGAAGTAAGCCAGTCCCAAAGAAACATAGGTCCCATGGTTTTCCTTATTTGCAATATCTAGTATATGTATGAGTCAAGCAGGAAAGGTCAGATAAGGTGATGTTAGGGAAATGAACCCTAAGATATATATTCAAATGTTTTTTTTTTCTTTCATGCGATTGTTTCTAACCGCATTTATAAGATGATTTCTTTGTTGCTTTGTATGTCCCTCCCCCACAGTATACTCCCTGCTTTCACTGTATTCGATGTCGGTATAATTTGTGGAGGGGAAGGGGAAAAACAAGTTGTTTAAATAAGGATACAGGTGGGCCTGTTGCAACAATGAGAAGTACACGTTGTTATGTCGAAAACCAACTTTACAACTTTGGTGGGGGGACGGGGGAGAGTATGGGAAGGGAAAGGAAGGGGAAATAAAGGAGGAGGCTACAATGCTTGATAAGAAATGTACTCATTTTCTTGCCCATGTAATTGTAACCCCTCTGTACAGTATTTTCACAATAAAAAATAAATAAAAATTAAAAAAAGAAAGTTGTGAAACATGTGGGTTGATTACTGTTCCTTGTTCTCCCTAAATCTCAAGTTTTTTTTCTGAATTTCCCTAAGTCTTTAATGGAATTCCTACTTTATATAACCATTTATTTTATTTCTCTTTGACTTGATGGATCATTATTTAAATTAATCTTCTGAATTATCTGTCTAATATTTTGGCCATTTTGGTATTTTTGATTATTCTTATTTATAAACATTGGGATGTCTCATATTGTGTCTAAATACCATATTTTGCTTTATCTATTTACCTGTATTTTTTGGCAACTTACACAAATTACTTGTATTAGCTATTGTGAATATGCTTTAATAAACAGGTGCATGAGTGTCTTTTCAGAGTGCTGATAAATTTCCTTTTGATGTATGCATATGTGGGTAGCAAACTAAATTCCTTTTTAGGTTGTAATTTTCCCCATGCATTTTCCACAATGACTGTTCTAAATTATATTCACACCCAATACTGTGTGAAGAACATTTTTATGCTTATATTTTCTAAATATATTGATTATATTGTCACACATATGTTACTCAGTTGTCAAATATTTATATAAATTCTATTTTTTAATGATGGACTCTATTACATTGTGATCAAGGACAATTTGTGAATCAATTTTGGTTTTTTATTTTTCCCAATATGTTATGAGCTTTATTGAAAAGTCATTCCTTCTGTTGATATGAACAAAAATATTTTCACTGTAATGAAAGGGTGACATTGATCAAGTGCTTTGTAAAAAGGTAACTTGTTTATAAAACAAGTTAAGGGTAATAAAAATATATTACAATATTTTTCTGTTTATGTTGAGTGAAATATGTTGTGGATATTTACTGTTAATTTTTCTAGAATTCAGCTCATTCATTTAACAAAGAAGGATTTAAAATTTAAAAGCAATGTAGTAACACAACCTGAGTAATAGGAGAAATATCTGAAATAAAAATGACACAAAGAAAAATTACACATGACATCACTTAAAACAATAGGACACTACTACACATGTTAGAATAATTAGTATCTGAACATGCTTTACTTGAACTCCTACAGCAATAGGAAATCACATTTATTGCTGATGGAAACAAAAATGGTACAGGCAGGTAAGAACACAAGTCTAGTATTTTCATACAAAATTTGATCTCCTCTTTCCACACAATCTAGAAATTTCACTCATTATTTACATAAATTAATTGTAAATTATGTTGACAAAATTAAGAGCAAACAGATGACATATATTAAGAAAACCTTTATTCTAAAGCCAACCCATGGACTTAATCATGGAGTTTTTGTAAGATTGTGGATAATCACAGTGCAACTTATCTGCTCAGGATTTTACCCAGCAATAAATAAATAAAAATGGTATCTCTATCTAAAAGACATGGGCTGGGAATATGCCTTGGTGGGAGAGTGCTTGCCTAACATGGTTGAAGCCCTGGTTTCAATTCCTAAGCACCACATAAACAGAAAAGGTTGGAAGTGGCACTGTGACTCCAGTTGTAGAGTATTAGGCTTGAGCAAAAAAGCTGAGAGACAATGCCCAGGCTGAGTTCAAGCCCCAGGACTGGCAAAATAAAGAACAAAAAAACAATACTTAATAATGTTGACTGTTCAGAAGCTACCAAACGGTATTGATGTTTATCTCAATGCAAGTAATTTTTCTTCCCAGACTGAAGATAATTTTAGAGAAAACCTGAGCAAAATCTGAACAATTCACTTGTAAAGCACACACTAAAACCTAATCTGTTTCTTGTATCACTAATATCTTGGAATGTGTGGTATATGGCATAATACAAGAGCCAGCTTCACAAAAAGAGCCAGTTTCAGTGCCTCTTGATGCAGGAAAATCTCTTATTTACATCATGATTTTCATTTTTCCCTTGCACATGGTAAAATTATGGTCAACACTAAAATGGCAATTTCCCAAACGAAAGCATTACACAAAGTTTTTTAGCTGCTTTGAAAAGTGTCTGTGTTCCATGTGCATGAAGGTCTTCTCATGGATTGTGTGTGCAAACCAGAGGCATAGGAGCTAGTATTACTTTCATACTATTGTCTTTGTTTAGGGGTAAAGAGAAGGATTATTATACACCCTCAAAAAGGGCATGGATACCTGCATGGTGCACACCAGCATTGCTCTCTCACTACCTTTAGCCATGGGTGTGGAGGTCTTCCCCCATCTTTGAATGTGGTGGTGTGATTTTCAGTGACTTTGGCCAGGCCTTTATTTTAATAACACGTTCTGCCCATTTTTCCCTGCACCTCACATGACAACTTTGATTCAGAACTTTTACATGATCCCGTGAGGCTCTATTTACAAAGTTTCTTGACACACTCTAAGGGCCAAGTCTAACAATGCTGAGTTCATTTATGGAGCTATTTGCTTTGGATGAAATCATAGCCTTGGGAGTGGAGAAGGGACCCATCAAAATGTTTCTCATCTCATGTTTTTGACTGGAGATAGACTCTCAGATGCAGAGCCTCAGGGATGTGAGAACCCAGCATTTGTCTAGGGAAATGGAGCAGTCTATGCGGAAAGAAACAGAGGGACAGAGTGGACATCTCAGGCAATAAAAATCACACTCGTGTATTCACATATTCCTGCTGCATTTAATCATTTGTGGGATACCACAAGCTCCACATTTGTTCACCAGCAGGCCTTACAGACCATTCTATGATGTTTCCTTTGATATTTACATCAGTTGTCCTACAACTTCCTTTTCTTGTCAGTTCCCTCAGTGAAAAGGAATGTTTGGCAAAGAAGAAGTACACCACACATACCAGTGGAGATGTCTTGATTGCTGGGATTTTCCCATTCACCTACACAGAATTAGAACATACCCAAGATAACTATTTTCAGGTGAGGTAAGTGACTTTTGAATTAATTTTTTTCGGTAGGATTTTCAGTCTGAGCAGACCTTTTGTTAATTAATTCTCTCTTTATGTGCTACCTTTTGCTACTATGCACCTTTTCTTTAGAAAGAGCCTTATATTAATGTGTGTATCTCCAATGAGTAATTTTCTATTTTCAAATGGGAGTATGCAAGTCTACTTTCCTCTATTTTAATATTGTTATTGTCAAGATGATGTACAGAGGGGTTTCATTACATAAGAGAGGTAATGAGTACATTTCTTTTTGAACAGTTTTACCATTACTTTCTTTGACTTAACCTTCCTTTCCAGGCTGAAAACTCTTCTCGCTGTAACTGCTCTACATTGTCTGTCATTGTCATTTCAAGAATCAAGCAATGTTATTTGAAAAAGCCATTGGCATGAGTTTTGAACTAACAAGCTACAGGAACATATATTTGCCCATAATTAAGAGGCAGATACTTCCTTAAATTAATTTGATTTGATTTCTAATAGCCATCAGTCAGGATATCAATGCCCATCTGTATCAGAACTAATTCTTAATGGAGAGATGCAGTTACTATTTCAAATACATTCTGGGTCAGAATTTCATGTCAGTGGTACTCCACGTATCAGAGAAAATTCTGTCAACCCAGAAGAAGGGAGGCATTATGGGAGATTTTTCACCCACCCCTTTGATTCTGTTTCCTTTCTACACATGCATTCCCAGTATGTATATATTATCCAGGTGACTTCTACAGCAGAACATTACACTTATAAATATATAAGGAAGAATTTAGGGCTATCAGTCCTAGTAGAATGTAAACTATTATTTGGTACATTGATTGATTGCATCCCTCTCCAAGTGTGGTAAGTCAAATTTGCCTGTGGTATCTGCTCACATGTGGGAACAGAGATGGCCTCTTCTCTGCAGTACAGAATATATGAACTTTTTTCATGTGTTATACTGAAGTCTTTGCTTATTGTTCTTTGGACCAGTGTTGTTTCTGCTGACCCACTTTCCCCATGAAGTAATAGTAAATTTTGCGTGTTTTTTAGGTGTATTTATGTAATGTCATTGATGCCTGTGTTTCCTGATGATGGGTACTTCTTAGCTAATTTCAGATCTGCAATCTCTGTGTGTAGATGGTACCAGAGTCTGGTCTGACACTCAGGCATCCCACAGTAAACATTTTTGTCTGTTAGTTGCTAAAAATGATCACTCACATTTTCTCCAAGAAGGCTTTCCCATAATTATTTCCACCAATGTGATAGTATTAGCAATGAATGAGAAAAATTGTGATAAATCTTTGGCACAACATGGCCCAAAGTAACTTGTATGAAGAGCTCAGGATATGAACCAATGGATGGGAAATTACTGGAATAATATTATGCCTCTAAGATATTGGCTGAAATGATTTAACAGAGTTCATAATCAAACTCCATCCTCTCTTTTAATGTCAGTACAGTATGAAGACTTCAGGATATCAAACATGATCATTTATTAACTTTAATCACAGCAGATGTCATTGAAATGGTCTTGGCATAGACCGACTGACAGATGCAGAACTGACAGTGATCTTTCAGAGGATTCAGGTTAGTTAAGGCAGCATTCTTTGCTTCCACTCATATGTGATAGTAGCCTAGAATATGCTGTATTGTGAGGGCTTAGGAGAGGAAGGTGAACCTGCTGGCATTGACTTTGTGCTGTCTTTTCCAAATTGCTCCATTCAGGGAGAACTTTGGCTCAGAAGTGACTCTGTACAGATCCTAGTTCAGGAAAACCTATTCCTACCTGACACAACACATTCTCTATTACCTGAGATTTTTCTCCTCTTCTCTGATTCCTCCATTACACACACAATAATTGGGTATCATCAAAATGTCTCAGTTCACTAATAAAACCAGCATTTGAAACAAACAACTTCAGACTTGGAAATACGCTAGTGTGCACACTTAGAATATTTCTTTTTCTAGAAAAAAAGCCTTTTTAAACCTTTCTCGTTTTAATGCTCCATTGAGCATGTGAATTCATGGATATCTCAGGCTACAAATGTATGTCAGTGTCCCTATCCTGTGTGCTATTTGTCACTTAAAATAGAACTGCATTTTATGAGAAATTCTTCAATGCCATCTTTTCTAAATGTATATTTGCAGACATTTAAAAAATTTTTATTTTAGCTCTCCTTATGTTTTTGTATATGACTTCCACTTAAAAACTGCTTTTTTAAAGCTCTCTACTCTCTACAATATCTGATATAGAGCTATTGATCTTAATTTTGTTTGTCTCCAGAAATTGTTTGGATTGCATTTTTCCCCCCAAAAAAATATAAAATAGAACCATATATTACCAAATAGATTATATTCTTCACTGTAATTTACAAATTGAATAATTCATTGTTTCTCTGCTACTTATGTAAGTAATCGTCTGATAGATCCAACTTTCAGATAGAAACGGAGGTTAATAGTTCATTTTCTATTATGTCTTTGTTATATATCTACCAATTCTGCTGTCATTTTACCCAATCCAAGTCCTTTTTTTACAATAATTACATTTTCCCTTATCAATGAGAATTGTCATGTTTTCAGAAACTGACAGATAAGTTTGAGATGAACATACAAAACTCTTTTCTAGAAATGTATGTTGATGATGATGATGTTGTTGTCGTTACTATCATTTAGAAAAGTGTTTTATTGTGGGTGTTAATTTAGAGCTTTGCAAATAACACTCCAGAAAAGCTATATCCCTTTCTCCAAATTGTCAGTTCTTGGTATTGTTCTTATGTTATTGAAATCCTAGCCAGGAAGTTATTACCTGTGCCTACTTCTTGAAATATTCTGCTATGTTTTTCTCTACTGTTTTCCAAATAGCTAGTCTCCTCAGAATATCTGTAAACAATTTTTAATAGCTCTTTTATTGGGGATAGAATGAGATGAGACTTGTATGTTTTACACATGGATATGTGTATTTTCAGAGCAACCACATGTTAAAAAAGCCATTATTATTTTCAGCAGTAGACATTGTGTTCAATATTCACAACTACTTGGGATCATTACTGGTCTTTCTATTAGATGTTACTGTTCTTTTTGCCATTAAAATGACAGTTTTTAATTTTAGTATTGTTTTAGATACAATAGTCATGCAATTAATTTCTGTCAAGGCTGGATCTATGCCATACTTCTTAGATTTCAGCCTCTCCAGAAGTTAGGAGAATAAGCCTGAAAAGTTGTACCTGCATCTGTTTGCTCCTAGTCTATATTTAATTTTTTAGTCTATTTTTTACTAGGACTCAGTGAGAAATTTGAAATCTGGTATTGCAGTATGTTCCATTATTTACTGTTTTTTACACCTAGCTTTCGTCATTCAAGGAATTTTTAGCCATATTTTTTTCTATTCCTGTGATGCATGTTCTTGATACTTTGGTATGGACTCCTTAAATGTGGAGATAACCTTTTTTAACACCATTTTTTCCCAGTTCCAGACTATTGTATGGAGAGATATGTTCAAGGACTTCAGTTTTGCTGTTGGTTTTCTATTTAATTAAAAAAATGGTTGTTTTTGATTTCTATGTTTTTAAAAAAAATTAGAAGCTTATTGATTTGGTAAGTTGAAGAAGTTATATTTCTAACCTTCTTGTGTTCATCTATTATAATATTGTCTTTCCTGTATCCTAGTATTGTGATTTTCATCAGTTTAGTAAATCTCTTCTGCAGTAAGATGGAAGGTACATCAATAGCATTTTTGCCTGTTTGTAAGGTCTACTTTTCACCATTAATATTTAATAATAGTGTTTCAGGATAAATTCTTCCTGTTTAGAAAATATCCACCCAAACAAAGAAACATAGCACCCTATGGTACTTTTATGGATTCTGCTTAAGAGATTACCACAAATCAAATGAATTTGCTGCTTTAAGATGCTATAGGAGAAACTTGAAATATTCCTCAAAAGTGTTTTCATTTTTTTAATTTTCCTTGATCTGATTTTAGAAAGGATATACTTTCCAATGCTGAGTTGTTCCTGTTGTGTGTACCACCTTCAGTTTTACTGAATACTTTTTCTCAATTAGGTGGTCCTGTAAAAATTATTATCAGAACAATGCCCAAGTTCCTTTTCACGCCTTCTTTCCCAGGAAATTGATTCCCATTACCTGATGTTATATTTACCATTGCCAAGGGTTTAAGGAGGCACTTTCTAACCAGCATTTTAGAAATTCAGTCTAAGGGTACTTGCCTGACAGAAGAGATGATGGGTCATTTTCCAACGCGGGCATTTCCATGGTACACTTGTATACTGCATTTAGTCTGAATTTAATTCTCTTTCTCTGTCATTTGGGGGTACTTATATTTGGATGTAGAAACCAAGGAAAATTAGTTCCTTTTCTATTTGTCAAGGAATCTAATTTTCCATTTTTGTAGTAAATGAGAATTATATAATGCTGCTTGAACCTTTTTGCTCTTCTTCTGTTGTTGTGTTTTGTCTTTAATTTGCCTTGTCTTAGAAAATCATTCTAATCTGTCAACTTGGTGTGTTTCATTCTATCACAAAGTAAGTCACTCTCTGAGTAAGATTATCCTGCAACAAAACCAAATAAAATCAGCCCTATCCTGATAATGGGATTTACTTTGCTGATTGCAGGGCTTGGAAGAGCAAGATTCAGACATGAAATAGTTTGGTGTTCATTAGAAAATACTTCCTTTTCAAGAACAACCACCTATTGTTTTGTCTGTATTTGACAGAGGGGAAATGCAAGATCTATTTGTACTCTTATAAGACTATGAATCTCATTCATGAGATGCTTTCTGAACTCACTGAATGTGAAGTGTTTACATATTACATATTAATTAGATATTATTAGGGGCATAGTTTCATTGCCTGAATTTTTGTGCTAAACAAACGTTTATTCCCTTAAGTCAATCAATGCACACATTTAAGGATATTTCCTGTATCTTCTATGCAGACAAAACTTCAACCACTACCAGCTTGTTTTAGCCTTGGCTTTTGCTATTGAAGAGATCAACAAAAATCCTCATCTCCTGCCCAACACCACTCTGGGATTTTCTACCTATTCAATTGGACAAAGAGACGTGATGCCTTTTAGGAATCTTATGTTTAGCATCTCTGGGAAGGACTTTATTATTAATTATATCTGCAAGAGAGACAGTCAGACCATAGTAGCACTGACTGGACCAGCAGGCACTGTCTCTTCCCAATGTGCAACATTGTTGGACCTCTACAGATTTCCCCAGGTGAGAACATGAGGGATACTGAGATATGAACTCATAACTATTTCATGCTATTCTCAGGTTTTTGATGAATTTGAAATAAAATTGTATTAGAAAAACTCAACATGAATTACCACAAAGTTGAAAAACTATCTTTGGTAAAATGTCCCTTTGAGGATATTTTAGTATAAAGAAGAAGCGGAGTCCCTAGCAGACCACAGGAGTTCTTGTGTTTGACCTAGTTCATTCATATTCTTCATCAGCCTAAGCAATTGGAAAATGCCATTAAAAGTGGGATAAACAATCTTTTTTCAAATTCTAGATGTTACGTAGTGCAAATAATGACTGAGGATTTTGTTTATGTCAATCTGATTTCTTATTTTCTCATTTTCATTTCCTTCTAGCTTAACTTCGGGCGTTTTGATCCTGTCCTGAGTGACCATCGCCTGTTTCCTTCTATCTATAAGATGGCCCCCAAGGACACATCTCTAGCTTCTGCTATGGTTTCCTTGATGGCTCATTTTGGCTGGAACTGGGTGGGTCTGGTGATCTCAGAAGATGAGACTGGAATGGCAATGCTGTCCCAATTGAGAGAAGAAATGAACAAGCACAGAGTCTGTGCAGCTTTTGAACACATGGTATCAACTGCTTTCTTTAACAATGCAGTAGAAAATTTATCCTCTCATCGGAAAATTGCAAAATGGATGACAAATGTGTTTGTCATTTATGGTGACAATGATTTGTTGCTAATTGTATTAAACGCTGTAGGCAGATATTTAACTGTAGGGAAAGTATGGGTCATAAACTCCCTCAGTACATTAATACTTACGATGAGATCTTATTTGTCAACTGTAATCCATGCACCTCTTATTTTTTCACAACATCATGGAGAGATTTCTGGTTTCAACAATTTTATCAAAACAGCTAACCCATCTAAATATCCAGAAGACTATTACCTTGCTTTGGTGTGGATTCGATCTTTTAATTGCACATTTTCTGAGTCTAGTTGTGTGACTTGGAAGAACTGTCCAGCCAATGCCTCCTTGGAATGGCTGCCTAGGTACCTTTTTGATATGGTCGTGTTGGAAGAGAGTTACAATATATATAATGCTGTGTATGCTGTGGCTCAGGCCCTTCATGAGATGCTTGCTGCTCATGCAGAGACCCAGGCAGTGGGAAATGGGACACATCTTGTGTTTTCCCCTTCACAGGTAAAGCATTTCCACTTGAAAGCAAATACCATGAGCAAACTGACATTGTTAAAAGGATTCATTCAAATCAAACTAGGGAGTGAAGAAAGTTTTATTAAAGACAAAGCATAAATTGTACTTAGTTTAGCTGTCTGTGATGACTTTTGTTTTTGTGTTTTTAGTGCCAGTCCTTGGGCTTGAATTCAGGGCCTGGGCTTTTTTTGCTCAAGCCCAGAAATTTCCCACTTGAACAACAACTCCACTTCTGGATTGTTTGGTAGGTAACTGGAGAAAAATGTCTCATGGATTTTCTTGCATGGGCTGGCTTCAAACTGTGATCTTTAGATCTCTGACTCCTAAGTAGTTTGGATTACAGTCAAGAGCCACCATTACCCAGCTTGTTTGTGATATATTTTTTAATACCTTGTAGAATTTTACTTGCAAATATCCAGTGGTAAGAACGTATTTTTTATTACTTCTCTACTAATTCTTTTTATGACAGATGTCTGCAACATCCTCAGTGCTTAAGCTTTCAATTTTGTCCTGCTTCTATTTGAATAAGTAATAAGAAGGTATAACTAATTTTTTTTACCTACATGTTTTGTTCTCAATAATTCATAATTTATGTAAGTGAAATAATTGAATTCCAATTCAGTTAGTTCTTAATAACAATTTCCCTGAATTCCACTTTGGAGATACTCATAAAGAAATCTCTGGGGCTGGGAAGGTGGCTCAGTGGTAGAATGCTTGCCTTGCATGCTCGAGGCCCTGGGTTCGATTCCTCAGCACCACATAAGCAAAAAGAAAAAAGCCGGAAGTGGCGCTGTGGCTCAAGTGGCGCTGAGGGACAGCGCCCAGGCCCAGACTTCAGGCTCCACGACCGGACCCCCCCCCACAAAAAAAGAAATCTCTCTCTGCCTGTTTAGCCAGGCAGTGTAGTCTGTAAAATCTGTGATTATTTGGGTGATTATCCTAGATTTTTTTATCTTGAAACATTACCTTAGATAGTGAGTTGAGTTTTAGGAATCATAGCATTATTTTATATTAGATCTCCAAAAATATTCAGTTGTACTGCTGCATTACTTTGTTAAAGATGAATACTCAAGCAGAAATGAAAGTCAATGAGATATGTAGTTATTCTATAAATTTTCTGGGTGAACTGTCCACTAAGTTCACCATGAGCTGATTCATCTCTTTTAGCTCCACCCCTTTCTGAAGAACATCCATTTCAACAATCCTGCTGGAGACCAAGTGATTTTGGATGAGCCCAAGAAATTGGAGGCAGAGTATGACATTGTGAACCTTTGGAATTTTCCAGAAGGTCTTAGGCAAGCAGTGAAAGTGGGAAAGTTTTCAGCATATGAACCACCTGGTCATCAATTATCACTATCTGAAGATATGATAGAATGGCCCGAACCATTTACAGAGGTTGGTTGAGTCAAACAACAATGATCTGAAGTATGAATAAATGAATTAAATGTATTGATAGTTTATTCCTCTGGTCTTCATTGATAGGCTAGTAATGTGTGTTACTGACTTCCAATTTAGAATATTTTTATTAAGTTATTGTTTAATGGATGAAAAAGGAACATTTTTATCTGCCAAGTTGTTTTGAAATGTTAAGTATTATTTTATTCATTTAAATTTTATTTATTTATTATTAAGGATTCCAGATATCATCTATGTTACACAGTTCTGTATCACTGTAACACAATACCTCTGAAAGTCAACTTATAAGTTGTTTAATTTTATATGCAGTTTTATTTTTCACTGTGTTCCATTGTACACTTGCTTTTGTGTCTATCCTGTTAGCTAATTTCCTATATTAAAAAGAATGATTCCTATGTTCCCCCTTAAGTGAGGATGAAGAATTTAAAGCACTTTCCTTTAAGTATCATGTAATACTGAAATAATATCATCCAATTATATATACAGACACAAGTATAGACTTCTGCCATTAAGACATAAAGTGAGGAGGAAGGATTTAAATAACTTTCTTATGAGTATAATTTAATATTTGAAATAATATACAATATGCACATATGTATATATGCATATATATGTAAAGTTTGATTCTGAAAGATCAAAATCAGTCAATAATAATAACAAATGATTAAAATATCAGAAAGTCTGCAATACTGGAAGTTGATTATAATCTGTTTATCACCAACACTAATCTGCTAAGACTCCTACCTCTGGCTGCGGTTGGCATTGTCGTCCTGGATTCAGAAAAGCCCTTCGTGAGGGACAGGCTCCCTGTTGCTTTCATTGTCTCACTTGCCCTCAGAATGAGATTTCTAACAGGACAGGTAAGTATGTAAGTCTTGGAGACATTCTGTACATCACCTTAGAGTTTCTCAATCCATGCTAGACAATAGGAACCCAAAATAATATGCAGAGACAAAAGCCTTCCTTTTATTAAGAAGGAGTTTAGATGAGATAAAAGACAAAAATCCTGCCAGAAAAGGCACAGCACATGAAGGTGGCTAACAGATTTGGCTAAGTTTTGTGGTTCATTTTCTAGTACATGGTATCCATTCTACCAAGTAACATATTAAAACTTTATCTGTAATATGTCACAATACACTGTGCATTATAATATTCTGCCATATCAACTGCTTTAGTCTACTTTGACAAGTGCATCTTCCACAATTTTCAGTTCCTACAAGCCAGCATTGCTGATGACTAGACCTAGTATACAAATATCTGTGTTTGATAGGAAATAGGATTATTTGTATGGTATAATATGATTTTAAACTTCTAATCATTAGTTCTATTCTTAGCTTTTTATTATTCTCAGGGGTTTAAGAAAGAAAACATAGAATGAGAGAAAACTGAGACTTTTATTTAGACTTTAATGAATAAATGCATAGAGGAATATGTGGAATGTAAGCTGAATTATTCACAAACTTGTGTGGATGCCAAAGAGTTGTATGTAAAAGCTTGAGTGTTGAATGGAATCCGTTCAGATTGAAAATTTACTAAAATGGCAAAGTTGCCCTAAGGCAATACATAGGTTCTACATTTAAAGTATAAATATTTCACACCATCAGAGAATATATGTGTGGATAGGATGAAGAGGAAGGCACAAAATAAGCTTTCAACAATTCTGTAGTGCATATTTTTCAGTTGGATACCACCAGTTCATTTTTTAGTAATAACTATTGAACTACAATCATCACTAAATGGGGGGATATTCCATTTTCCTTTATCACTTATCAATATTTTACTTACTCCTTTACTTTGAACATAACATAGAATGCAGCTAATATGAACCTGAATATTTTATGCACAAATAGCTTGTGTCAAATATATTTCCAGGTTCTTTGAACCTGCTGTTTGAACAAACATGCTGTTTGCCATTGTCATTACCTTACGCATTATAAGTGAAGAAACATGACTTTCCACAATCTGTATGTTAAAGAAGAGATTAAACAAATATTGCCACCATTCTAATTATGAGTATTTTAATTGAAGATTTTTAATTTGAATTTCTATTTGAATAATTTTTTCAATAGATTTAACTTTCTCCTTAGGGAGTAATGTAAAATTTTGTTTTATATGTCTTCATGTTATTTACTGTGCATCATTTGGTAAAGCCTGTGTGAAATTTTACATATGCACTCTTAGCCACTAATTATAAATAGAAAGATCACTAAACACAAGAACTAAAAGAAATTAATTCTGGAATTATATTGGCTAAAAGTAAGCAACACATGTGTGTATTTGCATTGAAGCATGAATGAGAAAAATAATATTCAAGAGAACCCCTTTAACGCAACTTTATGCTAGAATTCTGGACAATGCAGTGTGGTGGACAAAGAAAATTAAAAGGCACATTAATTAGTAGAGAATGTACATGCAAATATTTTCTCAGATAATATTTGTAGTTATTAGAACATTCTAGAAATATTTTGATGTATATTTCAATTTCTAGAGACTGAAGAGTACAGTGTTCAGAAATGCTTTATCTCTACCTCCAAATCATAAGCTATTACCTGTTTTTTAAAATGTCATTTGGTACAGTTTAAAATATGAAATATTAAGAGAAAAAATTACTATTGCGATAGTCTTTATTTAGGTATTTTGAGAAATGATATAAAAATTCAAAGAGGATAGAAATAAGTACAGATATAGAGGCTCTTTTTTTTTGCCAGTCGTGGGACCTGAACTCTGGGCCTGGGCATTGTTTCTCAGCTCTTCAGCTCAAGGCTAGTGCCCTACCACTTGAGCCACAGCACCACTTCTGGCTTTTTCTGCTAATGTGGTGCTGAGGAATTGAACCCAGGACCTCATGCATGTAAGGTAAGCACTCTGCCACGGAGCTACCTTCCCAGCCCCAGAGGCTCATATTTTAAAATGTCACTATATCCAAAATGAGGGTATTGCGTCAATGTACTATCCACCAAACATCCTAATGTTCGGTGAGAAAAGTTCAATGTGTGATTGACGTGGGGAAATCCAGAGGGCATGTCAAGAATTATTGTTTCTGTTTCTTTGGCATTTACATATTTATCTCCAAAATACAATGTGTACATTGCTCATGAAGTATGTGGTTTCAAGGAATTGCACAGACTATTACCTGGGGAGTGTTAATTAGGTGATTAGGATTTATCTTTGCACATTTTGATAATGAGAAATGCTTTCATGGAAACACTGAAAGACAATAAAAGTGAGGGAGGAAACGTAAGCGGGACTCCCTTTGAATTGTATGTCGCATAGAAATTGTACCTTTAGTTGAAAAAGCAACAAGAGGAACAATTTGGTTAAACTAGACAGATTAATCTGTTCAGGGGAAGGGCTGAGATACAAGGAAACAATGGCTTCACTGATGGTAACTCCCACCCCTTGCCAGATATGGAGCAGTGTGTGAGGTGCCCCGATCACCAGTATGCCAACGAACAGAGAAGTATCTGCCTGCCCAAATCTGAGAGCTTTCTGGATTATAAAGACCCTTTGGGGATGGCTCTGGTCTGCTTAGCTCTCTTCCTCTCTGCAATTACAATGGCCATTATTGGTATTTTTGTGAAGCACAATAATACTCCCATTGTCAAGGCCAACAACCGAGCTGTCAGCTACATCTTGCTCATCTCTCTTAACTATTGTTTCCTTTGCTCCTTGCTCTTCATTGGACATCCCAACACAGCCACTTGTATCCTCCAGCAGACCACATTTGGAGTGGTGTTCACGGTGGCTGTTTCCAGTGTTTTGGCCAAAACTATTACTGTGGTTCTGGCCTTCTCTGTCACTTCTTCAGGACATAGGATGCGGCAGTGGCTGGTGTCTGGAATGCCCAACTTCCTCATTCCCATCTGTACCCTGATCCAACTCGTTCTCTGTGGAATCTGGTTGGGGACTTCTCCTCCCTTCATTGACACAGACGCACTCTCTGAACATGGCCACATCATCATCCTGTGCAACAAAGGCTCAGCCACTGCTTTCTACTGTGTCTTGGGATACTTGGGCTCCCTGGCCCTGGCAAGCTTCACTGTGGCTTTCTTGGCCAGGAACCTGCCTGACACCTTCAATGAGGCCAAGTTTCTGACCTTCAGTATGTTGGTGTTCTGTAGTGTCTGGGTCACCTTCCTGCCTGTCTACCACAGCACCCAGGGGAAGACCATGATGATTCTTGAAGTCTTCTCCATCTTGGCCTCCAGTGCTGGGCTGCTAGGCTGCATCTTTGTCCCTAAGTGCTACATCATCTTGTTAAGGCCAGATAGAAACTCCCTGCATGGTATCAGGGGCGAAACACATTCTGGGAGAAAGAAGCCATCTTAATATTAAATGTAAGTCTTTCTAAAATCATGTAGCCTCTGATGCACATCTGCTACTTTTCTCATCAGAAACGAGTTCATCTTTGGGGAAATATTTCAAAGAAAAATAAATTTTTCCTCACTTGCCAGATTTACAAAGTTTTTTGCAAGTTGATTTTATGGTGGTCAAAATTAAATGTTATTCCCATTTGCTCTGTACTTATTTCAATTGACTTTGTGCTTAAGTTTTTTCCTATGCCTTTTGTTAAACTGCTTTATTATCTTTAAGTAATTGTTCAAAGGAGTTGCCATTTGCAAAACAGTTCATGCATACAATGAATTTTGAGCAATGCAGGCCTTTTAAACATTTCTTGTCTACTTTTGAGTGTATCACTCCATCTTCTTTTATTTTTCCTTCACTTTCTCAATTCATTACTAAGAATTTCATAGCACATATTCTTAATGGTGTAATCATTATGTATTTGTTACTTCTATGATAGATGTATGTTTCTCTTTCTAAAAAACTTGTTGTCTTTTACTTTTTAATCATAATTTCTATATTTCTTATCTACATGTGTTTTTCTAGTTCCACATTAGCTTTTACAAACTTTCCTGAATCTATTTTTGCACCCTTTCTCTCCCATACATCATTTTAACTTAGATGTATGTATGCTATGGGCACACTCCTCAACATTATGTCGAAAGTTTTTGAAAGCATGAAATAACATTTTTAGGAATTGGCAGTTGGACAAAAGGTTTGATATCCATCATCAATTATATCTTTCCTTTTGCAATTGTTTAAGAACCACTTATTAAATTGAGTAGGGAGAAGGGATTCTTTTACCCTATGGATGGGAATGTAAATTGGTGTAACCACTATATTTAGCAATACAACTTTTGGGCACTGTTTCAAAAGTTTACAAGTCAGGATACAGCAAGGCACAATCAAATTCATTGCTGCACTATTCTCTCTAGCCAATTATGAAAACAGACTAGAAGCACATACTGAAGTTTGTTTGTTTGTTTTGGTTTTTGTTGTTGTTGTTATTTTAACTATTTTTTATTGTGAAAATACCGGACAGAGGGCTTACAATTACATGGGAAAGGTAATGAGTACATTTCTTAGGAAGCATTGTTGCCTCCTCCTTTGTTTCCCCTTCCCATCTACTCCCCCGAGGTCCCCCCTTTCCGCCAAAGTTGTAAAGTTTGTTTTTCAACATAACATCTTGTACATCTCATTGTTGCAATGGGTCCACCTGTATCCCTATTTAAACTATTTGTTTTTTCCCTTCCCCTCCACAAATTATACCAACATCAAATACAGTGAAAACAGGGATTATATACCGTGGGGGAGAGACATACAAAGCAACAAAAAAATCTTCTTAAAAATATGTTAGACATACTGAAGTTTTATTCATCCATACAAAAAGAGTTATAAGGTAATTTGTAGAGACATGAATGGCCTTTTGAAAATTATGTTAAGTGAAATATGGTATGATCAGATGTTACAAAGATCATGTTTTCTCTGATATGTGGAAGTTAGATCCTAATTATAAATACATATGTAAATCTATACAGGTTAATTTTCATATATACACAAACAAGTTAACTAAAGCATGATATATGCATTAGAGGATTTTAATGCTGCAATTCTTAAAAGTATCTTAAAGTGAACAAAATTAATTCCAAAGAGTGGAATTTGGGGTTTCAGTTCTCAACCTATTGAGTAGCTAAGATTAGAGAAGCCAGCCACTGGCTCCCTGAGATTTATGAACTTTAGACAGAATTATATTATATATTTTTGTTTTATGCTTTGGGCTGCTTTTGTTCAGAAAATATACAAATTTAACTATTGAGAATATGTTCTAATAAACATGATTGCATTGTCTTTTCAGTGTGCTGATTTTATTTACTTTGGTTATATGCTAATGTAAAAAGGACAATTTTCTTTGGTGTTTTAGCATTCCGTGCTGTTATCTACAGGGGGACTCTAATATGCGTTTACACCAATGATATTTACATCAACCCAAAGTTTATGTGTTCTCAAAAAATTTTTGTGAGAATCCCTTTTCATGTATTCAATTCTATTATGGTAAAACATGTTTCACAATTTCTGTTTTATAAAATCTTCAAATTATTTCATTGTTTGCCTTTCAGTCTTTCCTTCTGTCCATCCATAATCAGGGAGAGTTGTCCATTTTCTGATGTTTTCTGTATCTTTATTCAAGGCTCTATAGTTTTCTTTTTACAGGGCTTTTAGCTCTCAGTTCACTTTATCCCACAGTGAACTACACAATTTATATAATAGTGATAAACCAGTTGTAACAGTTCTATCACCAATATGTGCATAGTAAGAAAACTGTCAGGCAATTAATGCTTAGTATATTCTTTAGAGACTGATGTTTATATTTAGAAAAATAACTTGGGAACAAGTTATGAAACAAAGCCTCAGTCATTACCTCCCATGCTTTCTTGGATTATTGGCTCCCTGGTCCTAGAAAGTTTCACTGTGACTTTCCTGGCCTGGAAACTGCCTGACACATTCAGTCAGGGCCAAATTTGTGAATTTCAGCATGTTGATATTCTGCAGTGTCTGTCTTTCATGGCACTAATGTGAAGTTAATGGAAGCCATGGAAGTCTTCTCCATTTTGTCCCCCAGTGAAGGGCTGCTAGGTTGTATCTTTGTGCCTGAGTTTTACATCATGGTACTAAGACCAGTTTCTTGAAGCTTTCAAAGTCTAAAACTTTCAGAGTCTAAAAGTCTATTCCAGTGGTCAAGAATATATATATATATATATATATATATATATATATATATATATATAACAAGACCACAGTTTAATCCACAGCATCACAACTTAAATGTCTTGTATTTTCCAATATAGTAATAAAGTAGACACATCATTGAATAATTTCTTAAATGTTTTTGGCATGTATTCATTAAGAAATCTATTATTATTTCAAGAATATATTCAGTATTCATGTTTACCAACTCCTTCAAAGAACACAATAATATGACAATCTAATTTATTTCATAAGAATAGATAAACTTGGTTATGTAAATAAGAATGACATAAAAGATCTTTTCTTCTTAAACTAAATTTTCATTTTGTTCTCTAAATTTAGATATTTTAAGGAGACTAAAACATCCTGGGGTGTTCAGTGCCATTCAACACAATAGCTTCTGCTAAGGAAGAGAGGTTATTACCTAGTTATACTAAAATAGACAAAGAATTAAATATTACTAATAGCTTACAAATACTAAAACAGAACTTTGTAAATTGTTAACCAGTGTAATTTGGCTTATTCCATACATTGTACTTGATTGATTTGCTAAAGCAAGTATCACATGCTGTAAGTCAATGTTAAAGTTAGAGGGAGACAAAAATATTCATTAGGCCCATTACTGCTGCACATTAAAGGAGATTATGAACAGTACAATATTGTCAGAAAAGAAAAATTTTGAAAATTCCCATCCGTGGTCAAACATTTTTCCTCATTTAATCATTTAATCATCCTTTATTAGTCTTTTTTTTTTAAATCTTTATTATTATTATTGTGAAAATACTGCACAGAGGGGTTACAATTACATGGGCAAGATAATGAGTACATTTCTTATCAAGCATTGTAGCCTCCTCCTTTGTTTCCCCTTCCCATCCCATCCTCCCCCGTCACCCCCAACTCCCCCCACAACCCTCCTTACTCCCCAACCCCTGCCACCAAAGTTGTAAAGTTCATTTTGGACATAATGACTTGTATGTCTCATTGTTGCAATGGGTCCACCTGTATCCCTATTTAAACGATTTGTTTTTTTCCCTTCCCCTCCACAAATTATAACATCAAATACAGTGAAAGCAGGCGTTATACCGTGGGGGAGGGACATACAAAGATTATTTCTTTGTTGCTTTGTATGTCCCTTTATTAGTCTTTAATAAACTATGTACATTCATTTGCAGTCCAGTTTTATCTCTGAATTTTTGTTACAATTCATAATTTGAAAATTTCATTTCTATTATGCTCAATTTATTTATAATTCATTAGAAAATATAACTTTGTTTATCAAACATTTTTGTTTATCTTAGAGATTGCTAATAGAGATTCCCTTTCATTTTTGAGGCATATGGTCTCATAATGGCACCTTTCTTCTCTGTGGGAGTGTTTATTAATTTTTTAATGGAAAGTTGTGAAACATGTTGGTAAATTTTAATCTACCTTGTTCTCCCTTTATCTCAAGTATTTTTCTGAATTTTTCAAGCATAACACTAACGTTTTTCACTCAGCTCTTTAATGGAATTCCCAGCTTAACTAACTCTTAATTTTATTTATCTTTGACTTGATGGATCATTATTTAATCTTCTGTATTATGTGTCAAATATTTTAATAATTTCAATAGTTTTGGTTATTGACATTTAAGAACATTGGGATCACACATATCTACATATCTTGTTGTGCTTTATCCATTTACTTGTGTTTATATAGCAGCTTGGAGGAATTGCAGGTATTAGCTCTTGTGATGTGCTCTAATAAACAGGTGAGTGGGTGTCTTTTCAGTGTGCTGATTGAGTTTCCTTTTTATATATGCAAATGTGGATAAGATGCTAAATTTTTTTTTAGGTTTCCATTTTCCCCATATATTTTCCACATGCTTCAAAAAGTACTCATCCTAACCATGTATAAAAAATATTTTACTAGCCAGCGCTGGTGGCTCATGCCTAGCTACTCAGGAGGCTGAGATCTGAGGATCGTGGTTTAAAGCCAGACCAAGCAGAAAAGTCTGTGAGACTTATCTCCAATAAACCGTCAGAAAACTAGAAGTGGCATTGTGTCTCAAGTGGTAGAGTTCTCACCTTGAGCTGAAGAGCTGAGGTACAGTGCTCAGGCCCAGAGTTCAAGTCCCATCACTGACAAAAAAAATTACTTTCTAACTATATTGATTATACTATCATACACATGTTTCTTTATAACCAAATGTTCATTCGAATTCTGTTTTGTAAAGATGGCCTCTATCACAAAGACAACTTGTG